CAATAAGGCCATGGCTGCAATAATTCTGAGGCAGCTTAGCCATCCCGAGGCCACAGGATCAAGCTTTTTCAACAAGTAAGCCACAGGTCTCTTCCAAGGGCTGAGCATTTGGGTCAGGACTCCCTTCACTATTCCCACTCCTTCATCAACAAAGAGCTGATAAGGCTTATGGATATCTGGCAGAGCCAAGGACAGAGCCTGCAATAAAGCCTTTTTGATTTCTTGAAAGGCCCTCTCCTGAGTCTCAGTCCATAGGGAGGATGACTCATTCCCTCGAGTGGCTTCATACAGGGGTTTTGCCAACTCAGCAAATCCAGGTATCCAGATCCAGCAGAAGCCTGCCGATCCCAAGAATTCTCGCAACTGCCAGCGGGATCTCGGGCTTGGAATTCCCATAATGGCTTGCTTTCTGGCTGGTGACAGCCACCTCTGCCCATCCCTTAATATGTACCCTAAGTACATTACCTCCGTGACACAGAGCTGAGCCTTCTTGGCAGAGGCCTTATACCCCAATTGGTCCAAGGTCAGGAGTAAATCTCTGGTGGCCTGAAGAGAAGTGCCCTCATCCTCAGTGGCAATCAACAGGTCATCTACGTACTGTAGGAGGCTTACCTCCAGGTGCGAGGACTGATACTCCTGCAAGTCCTGGTGTAGAGCCTCATCAAAGATCATGGGGGAGTTCTTGAACCCCTGTGGCAGTAGCGTCAAAGTGAGTTGTCCATTAAACCCCTGGTTTGGGTCTTGCCAGTCAAAGGCAAAGATGGGTTGACTTTCCTTTGCCAAGGTCAGGCTAAAGAAGGCGTCCTTGAGATCTAAAACAGTATAGACTCTTCTCTCCAGAGAGAGAGAGCTCAGCAGGGTATACAGGTTGGGGACTGTAGGGTGGATATCCTCTACCCTCTTGTTAACTTCTCTCAAATCCTGCACTGGGTGGAAATCATTAGTCCCCAGTTTCTTGATGGGTAACAGAGGGGTATTCCATGGAAATTGGCATGGAACCAGAATACCGAACTCCCCAAGGCGGTTTATATGTTTAGTAATTCCTGCCCTTGCTTCAAGAGTCATTGGATACTGTTTTACTCTTACTGGCTGAGCATTAGTTTTTAAAGTCACTATTATTGGTGGCTGTTGGATGGCTCTCCCTGGGGAATTAGTTTCCGCCCAAACTCCAGGGATTTTTGCCTGGAGGTCCCTGAGGATAGTGGTTGGTCTCTTTTGAGGGAGAGGAGTGTGCACTCTCCATTCTTCTTCTAATTGTAAGCATAGGATATAGGCTGCTTCCATCTTCTTACCTAAGTTTACTACCCTTTTGGTAGTCCAAGAGTGCTGAGGGATTCCTGTGCCTCCTTGCACCCAAGTGCATTTGTTGGTCAATTTTCCCATAGGCTCTTTTAAAACTGAATATTGTGCTCCAGTGTCAACTAGGACGTCGACGGCTCGTTCCTCCACTTGTAGGGTCACCAAGGGCTCATGGTGGAGGTTCACCAAGCCCAGGCCCCTTCAGTTTTCTAGGTTTGCCAACTCGAGGATCTTGGGATTGGAGGGAGGCTGGGATCCTGTCCTTTGAGGACATTCCCTACCCCAGTGGCCCAGCTATTTACAATATGCGCACTGGTCTCTTTTTAGGCAGGGCCGACCTTCCTGTGGGGGTCATGGGGCTTGGGTTCCATTTTTCATAGATGGTCAGTGCCCCCATTTGGGATTCGTTGCTCTTTCAGCCAACAATATCCTAGCCAGCCCTTTTGTCTTTCTTCAGGGGTTTCTCTGTTGTTAAATACCTTGTTCGCCACCGCCATCAGCTCAGAAAGGTTTTTGCCCTCAAAACCTTCCAGTTTTTGAAGTTTTCATTTTATGTCTGGAGCTGCCTGATTTACGAAAGCCATATTGATGGCCATTTGATTCTCTCGGGCCTCTGGATTTATGGGAGTATAAGTTCTGAAAGCCTCTAACAGGCGTTTCAGGTACACTCCAGGAGACTCATCCCTTCCCTGCCATTATCTGATTGACCTTAGACAAATTGGTGGGGCATTTAGCAGCTGCCCAGAGACCCCCCCCAATAAGAATCTGGTGATAGACCTTTAGGCGTTCCCTACCTTGGGGGTGTTATAGTCCCACCCCTCTGTTGGGCATGTGAGACGGAAAGCAGCTACAATCAAATCTTCATTCTGTCAGTCGCCCATCATTTCCAGGGACTGCGTGTCTGCATTCCCGAAGGATGTGGTTCCATTCCTCAGTGGTGAACAGGATATTCAATAACTGTTGGCAATCATCCCAAGTGGGTTGGTGGATAAAAAGAATGGTACCCAGGAGGGAAATCAGGGCCCAAGGTGTCTCCGTGAAGGAGGTAGTCTGTAACTTCCAGTTATACAAGTCACTAGTAGAAAAGGGAAAGTAGACTACTGGGGCAATTCCATCATCCCTCGGGGGCCCAATCTCCCTCAGGGGAAGTGCTCACACAATTCTCCCTTTCCCCTTCGAGGGAGTGTGCATTGGGCTGGGCTTGGCCATGGGAGGTGCTGGCTCAGCCATGGGACCTGGGGATGGAGACTGGGAAGGGCTGGAAGAGGAAGATGCTCATGACCTGCGCTCCCTAGGTCTATCCTGAGCACTCCTGGGGCCCCGTAAGGTGGCAGGAGTAAATCTTCCTCTGGCACCGAGGGAAGAACCTCGGGACCTGATGGGTTTTTGGTCTGTACTTTCTTCAGAGGAAGCAAAGTGGCTGGCCCTTTAGGCCCCGATGGCGGGGGCAGCAGTAAGGGACACAGCCAGTCGGGGGGAGGGGCAGCAACCAGATATTGCCAACCTAGGATGTATGGGATCTGGACAGTGCGCCCCGGTTCCCCGAAGATAACTCCTTGAACCCTGTAGATGAGGGACAGGTTAAAGGACCCTTCAGGTGGACATTCAACTTCAAAGGAGGGCCATTCAATGGTGCAGAGGGTTTGGAGGTGGGTTGGCTTGACACAGAGTCCAGACATGTTTGAAGCCACTCATTTGTAGTCCTGAAAATGACTAAGAACTATATCAAGGGGAGCTGAAGATGAGACTTTCTGGCCCATCGTGGGATAAGCTTCAAGAAAAAAGAATATAAGGAGAGGAATGAGAATGAGAAGTAGGATGGAAAGTTGATAGACAAGGTGGAACTCCGAGCAGCGGGCGAGGACAGTATGAGATGGCAGTTCCCTAGAGGGAGAAATTAAAATCTCACAGTGCGCAGAGTCAGCCGAGAAGGCTGCCCCTGTTCCTTTCCCAAAAACATTTGGCCAGCCTGGATTCCATGTCAGACTCAACCAGAATCTTGTGTCTGGCCCACCTGGATTCCACGTGGGACTGGGCCAAAACTCTGGGTCGGTCCTGCCTGGATTCCATGTCAGACTGGAGCATGACCCCTCAACAGAAGGAGTCGGGGTGTCCTCCATTCTCCTCCAGCTCTGGGATCAATAGCGCATCCACCAGCTCTCCGTTGAGCCCCAGGATGTCTGGACTACCGAAAAGCAAGAGGAGGGGAGAGAGAGAGAGGAAGGCCAGCAGAACTTACCAAAGCCGGCTCTGGGGGCACTTCTGTGGGTCTGGGGTCTCTAGTCTCAAATCCCAGGATGAGCCCCCACAATGTTAAGAGTTCGAGAATTGAGAATAATTCCCACAGATACCCAAAAAGATTATAGAAAAAATTTATTCAAGGATTTAAAGTAAAAAAGACAACAACCAAATGGCAGCTAGCCAGGCACAGACTTCACGAGCCAAAGATGGAGTCTGGCCCTGAACAGTAGCAGGCAGGAGCTTTTATTGGGGCACTCCACAGAAACTCATGCATGCCAAGCATCTTTTTAAAATAATTGGATGTCCCCATATCCTGTGTATGGGGAAAGTCTTGACTGGTAGGGGCTGTCTTCAGGGCATTGGAATGTGCTGACTAATATCTTTTAGAGTCAGAAGTTTTTGTTCATACCTTATAAGGCTTTTACATGCACAATATGCCTGAGCTTGTCTGGGCTTGTCTAAAGAAGCTAGCCAAAATGGAGTCAAAGCATTCTGGCTCTTCACTTTATGGGGCTGGAAAGATGGCTCTGAGGTTAAGAGCACGGGGTGTTCTTTCAGAGGACCAAAAGCTTAGTGCCCAGAACTCATGTCTGGCAGCTCACAACCACCTGTAATTCTAGCCCCAGGGGATTCCTTTCACTTCCAATGGGCATCTGCACATATGTGTACATGTTCACACACATACAATAAATACACACAATAAGTCTTTAAAGAAGAAAACCTTACAAAACCAAAACAGACAAAACTGTAGAAAGGTAAGGAATGCCATTTTTGCATGTCTCTTTTAATGTCTAATTGAGCAGGGCCTCTAAGTATTTGGCATTGACAGCTCAGCAGCTCAGTATTGTGAAGAAAATCTGACTTCATATACACCTCTATTTTTTCTTTTCATTGGAGTAGGACCTTAATCCCTAGTCCATGCTATCCTTGAATTAACTACAGTCTTCCTGCCTCGGCCTCCCATTCACAGTGATTTTTTTCATGGAAAAAGAGCAATTGCATTTTTAGATAATCATGTGTATTCCCTGATACTGCACAAAAAGCTAACAAGTAGGTGTCCCCTAAAAGGTTGGGGGCCAATTTGGAAGCTGAAACCGCAAGGAACTTTTTGCATGATTCTATTGCCTTCCAGTCTGCCTTCTAGTTTCAATATACTTCCTAAACAAAAATCATATACACAGCATTGACTTAAAACTATAATCACAAAGCACTAACCTAGCTAGCATGCATGAGGCCTAGAATCCAATATGTTCCACTGAGAGGTAAGAATTTTACAAAAATAACCAATGCTTTCCTAGTAATAAATAAAACCTTGAAATATGTGTTCTCTGTAGCCCAGGCAGCCTCAGCCTCCTGGAATGCTAGACAACAGGGTATACCAAGCCTGATTTATCCAAATGTGTCCATTTGTGAGAATAAGAAACAAACAAACAAAAAAATGGAACCATAAAGACTTCAGCTGAAGTTCTTTAAAAATAAATGTTTATTTCAAGTATGAAAAGTAATATCAAGACATCATTCAAAACCTGCATTCGGTTTAACAAGTATAAAACAAGACTCTGAAAAAACCTTTACAATAAGGTATAAAATACTTAGGAATATATTTTGACATTCACAGTGGGCATTTCTAAAAAATAAGTTTTGCTAACGTAGCTTAGAAACAAAAATATATTTACAGTCCCAGTCAAATAACCAAGTCCTCAACTAATGAATAGTTACTTCAAGATGACAGTCAGCATTTCAAAATAAGATTGGTATAAGCAGCCTTGATCATCTTTTTTGGTTGTTTTATTTTTTAAGACAGCATCCTATGTAGCCCAGGCTGGCCTCAGACTTCTATTTGTAGCCAAGGATGACTTAGAACTCCTGATTCTCTTGACGCCACCTTTCAAGAGATGGGATTACAGGTGTACACCACTGTGCCAGCAAGCCTTAACTAAACTAGGTTCAACAATATAGCTCATGTATCCTGTAGCTTGAGACAAGGGCCATCTGTTTCTTAATAGGTATCCATCATTTTAGTTACATAGTATCAGTGAAAAATGTAACCTAAGGGTAACTAAACTCCTAGGCTAAGAAATCCAAATCTTGATAGTCCTGAGTTATTTCAAGCAAGGAAGTCTGAAAAGAAGGTCAAGGATTTCCTGCTGGTAATTCCAAAACCACCACACTCTGCCATTACTTCACAGGACTGCTCCCGAGGCTTCTGCTTCTCTTCTCCAGGTACATCTGTTTGTAGGTTTGGAACATGGCATTTGAGTCTTTTACTGGGTTTTGCAGTATCTCAAATTCATCTGCACTGAAGCTTCTCTTGGAGAGTCTTGAATTAGCATGATCTACAAAAACAGAAATACTTATGGGCTTCACAGCAAGACAATACCTCAGAAACCAAAAGAAAAAAATGGTACTTGGGTAAATCCTAGCACTTTGGAGGTGCAGGGAGGACAACCTGAAGTTCAAGGTCATCATCACATACAGAGTTCAAGGCCAGTTTGGGCTTTCTCTTAAAATAAATAAAAAATAAAAACAGGGGCTGGAGAGATGGCTCAGCGGTTAAGAACACTGGTTGTTCTTGCAGAAGACTTGGGTTCGAATCCCAGCACTCACATGGCAGCTAACAACTGTCTGTAACTCCAGTCCCAGGGGATCTGACAGCCTCTTCTGACCTCTGCAGGCACTGCACAACACGGGTGCACTTACCTACATGCAAGCAATACACGCATACACATAAAATACAAATAAATAAAAATTAAAAATAAATAAATAAATAAATATAAAATAAGAAAAAGGAGCAATGAAAAGCCAGGGTAACCTTAATATTCTACCCTTGCCATTCAAGCCTCAGAAATGTCTGCACTTTGCTACTTCACTCAACCCTTTACTTCAGCATTACATGGACATTATTTCTCTTACTTCCAGGACTTTCTAGATGCATCTCTTCACATCAGGGATCTCCTTCCCCTCTTCACTATATCTAGGCTTTCTGATCCTGCTTTAGCCATTCCTGTAACAGGCTGATGCTTGGGATCAAACCTAGGGCCTCATGCATACAAGGTAAGCAGTCAACCTACTGAGCTTTATATCTCTATTCTTTGTCAAACCTCCCTTTAAAATAATACATTGTATCAATGCTTTTAATAAAATTCTACTCCTTTCCATTTGAGGCTGAACCTATATTTACCTTTTCAACTACACAAAATTAAGACAATTCCCCAGTTCTACCTTCTAATTTTCAATGTAGAACCCCAGTGCATTCATTCTACTAATTACAACAGGTAACAAGGCTTAAGTTAATATAGTGCTTGCTTAGCATGCACAAAGCCCTGGATTTTAATGAAGAGGTTAATGACAATTCCCCTATTGTTCACTTATTTACCCATTACTTAATACAATTTCAGAGTTGAAAGGTCAGTTTAAGAGATCCAGGAAGCTTAACACTTACAGTCTAGTCCTATGGAGAAAAAAGGTATAAATTCTTTCCCTAATTCAGTGTGATAGAAATTACTTTCCTGTTAAAAAGAACTGATCCCAGTTTCTCACTATATTACCTGATAGAGAAAACAGAATCCACCCTACTTTCAGAAACCAGTGACCAGAAAAGAATACAGATAAAATTGTGCAATGTGACAGTATTGTAATCATAATCCATATTACACATGAAAAGCTGGTAAATTTAAAAAAAAAAAAATTGGTGTTTTACCTATTTCTTGGCTGGGTTCAGGCATCTTTGTCTTAATAGGGCTGCATTTTAACCAGTCTTCTTTTGTACTTTTTATTCCTGAAACTGTTTAAATATTCATTTTCAGAATTAGTCTTTAACAGTCCTGTCTTATAGCATTATAATGAAGAAAACCACCTGTCTAAAATATACCATAGAGAATATAGTATATCCATATACCATATAAAATATAACCTCTTTAACCTGGCCTAAAAAATTTCTGTGTAAGGTACATGAATACTTCAACAGGAAAACAGTTTTAAATACTTCCCACACAAAGTACTTACATTTGCTTACCTACACTGAAGATATTAAAGAGACGAAGTCATTCCCATTGCCCCATTCAATTCCCAAGTTCCAGTTATATCCAAGGTCTCAGATTTTAAAAGACCTATTGAAAGAGCCTGTTGAGGGGGGCTGGAGGGATGACTTAGTGGTTACAAGCACTGGCTGCTTGTGCAAAGGACCCGGATTTGATTCCCAGCATCCACATGGCAGCTAGCTACTGTCCATAACTCTGGTTCATGGGCATTGCAGGGCATGAGTACACTTACATACATGCAGGCAATATAAACATACACATAAAATAATAAAAACAAAAAGAAAGCCTGTTAAAATCACCCTTTGGGGGTTTTTGAGATAGGGTCTTGTTGGGAGCCTGAGGCTCAGCCATTTCTCAAGACTGCTGACAGACCTGAGTTGGTGACCTTTCCATTCTGTCCACAACCTTGGCCCACAACCTTGGCCCGCGGCCTTGTTCTCCTTTCCAGTAAATAGCCTTGTTCTCTGTTAATCAGTAGATTCCTCCCTTAGAGTACATCAGGGCCCCTGTGTTCTGGCTGATATGATTACTCTCAGTCTGTAATCCTTTGTTCTCACTCTTAACCTCATGCTTGTGCTGCAATAAACGAGACTTGATCAGAACGCTGTCTTGTCTCTTACCTCTTGCCCCATCCACATCCCCACTCCCCAATCCAGGTACCCTGCGGGCCGGGACAGGGTCTCACTATGTAGACCATGCTGGCCACAAACTCAAGAGACCAGCATGCCTTGGCCTCAGAATGCTGGGATTAAAGGCCTGCAACACCATACCACACCACACCTGGAAATCTCCCTTTCATAAAATTCTGTATTCCAAGTCATATATCCTTATCTTCCAAAAACGAGACACTGCTTATGCTACAGCTTCATGCACCCCAACAGATGGAGAATGACCTTTCTGGGACTCACAAGCTGAACTTCTAACCAAATTAATCACATACTTTGAGGTCATTTAGAGCTACACATTATAACTGTTTTCCTACTGTATTCTCAGCTTGTTTAAATTTAATCAGTGTTTAAGAAAAACAATGTAATCAATCTTTAATAAGATAACATATTCCTCATTTCTCCCTCCCGACCCTTCCAAGCCAGACTCAGAACAATGTACATGTGTATAATATCGTGATTAGACCTTAGACCATGGCTCAAAGTAGTACTGTCCCTCACATAAAATGTTGAAAGCAGCAAGTGGAAACAGGTTAAACACATCTGTTGTGGTTTTGTGTGCTGTTCTGGGTCAGTAGGGTCAGAAAAATAACTTCCCTTGTAAAACTCTGGTTAAAGATTCTTTAAGACAAAGTTCCTCATTCCTTTCCTATACCATGACTGATATACTATTAAAGAAATACAGGAGGAGACCCTCTGTTAGAATAGATGATGTACACTCCAGGAGTCAGACTTCATGTAGCACCACCTCAAATAAATAAGGGGGGAAAAAACGTACAGCCAAAGCTAAAAGTTCAACTAAAATTGTAATTTTCCAATCTGGGTTTTGTAGCAATCTCCTGACTAACACTCAGAACTCTAAAACATTCCTTTGTAATACCAAACAAGTAATTCAGCCATTTTTCTCCTTCAATTGTGCACTTCATCAAGAAGCATATCAAGATGCCCTGACTCATGGTTGCCACTCTGGCTTTTTGTTGTCTGTTGCTGTTTGAGACAGGATCTCCCTTTAGCCCCAGCTGGCCTCAGTCTCACAGATCTGCCTGCCTCTCCAGTAGTGGGAGTAATGGTGTGCACCACCACACCTGGCTGTTTTGTTTTTGAACAAGGTCCCACGCAGCCAAGAATGTAGCAAAGACTGGCCTTGAACGCCTAGATTCGTCTGGCTCCAGCAACCCCCCTGGCCACCAGGCTCAGTCACCATTCTCGCTTTAGTGACCGTTTTGAGATTAATGTGTTCTGAGTGATCACAGCACCACTGGCTGTGTCATCAGCAGGCTAGATGCCAGCATTTTAACTTTGTGGACAACACCAAGATTTGGAAGATGACAACAAACTGATCCATTAACCATTATATAACTCCCAATATTTAGAACAAAATTTCAAATTTAAAGGACTGCTTTGAAACTGTTAAGTAAAAAGGGAAACCAAACCCAAGACTGGCTGTGACTGTAGCTCAGTAGTAGAATGCTTGCCTACCACAGGGAGGTCTTGACCAGTATCACAAAAACAAAACTTCTTAAAACATACACTTGAAACTTTCAAACTTTTACCACAAGAAATGATTTTTGCAATGTAGTTTCCTAGGCATCAAAGTATTTATATTTGGGAAAATGCTACAGTTTAATAAGCTAAGACAGCTCAGCAATTAAAGGGTTTTGCTCTTCCAGAGAACTCAGGTTCAGTTTCCAGCACCTACATGACAGGTAACTACAGTATGTAACTCCAGTTCCAGGGAATCTGATACCTTCGTCTGGTCTCTGTGGGCACTGCACACACGGTACACATACATGTGGGTAAAACACGCACACCCATAAATCTTGCAGGGTGTGGTAAAACACCCTTAACAGCACTTGGGAGGCAGAGGCAGGCAGATCACTTTGAGTTTGAGGTCAGCCTGGTCTACATAGTGAGTTCCAGGCCTGCCAGGGCGGTAGAGTGAGACCTTGTCTCAAAAACAAAACAAAATTCTTGCCATTACTTCTCATTTACTGTAATTTAAAATACAGGGAACAAACTATAAAACAAGCACTGCCCAAGGAAGCACTGATTCACTAACTGCCACCCACACAGTTGCCATCCCACTGATCCACTCCCAGGCTTATACCTCTAAAGTGCTCACACAACAAGAAAACCCCTGACTGGGGGATACAGTGCACATCTGTGATCCTAGCAGTTGGGAGGTATAGGCAAGAGGCTCAGAGTTCAAATCCAACCTTTGTGATATAGTAATTTGGGGCCATCTACATGAAACCTGGTCGCAAAAAAGCAAAGAAGAAAACCATACCGGACCTTGAACAGGGGCTTGCTCCTTCCCAAGCCCAGGCATTGGGTCATCCTGCTTGTCAAAAGAGCTTGTATTCTTCAACAACATATCTGGACATAACTTAAACTCCAACATGCTAGGTTTGTCTGTGGCATCTTTTGTCTTGGGCATATATTCCTGACTCTTCTCATCCTCCTTACTAAGCTTCTGGGATGCACTGTCCAATTTAGTAAGACAAATGCTTTCCCGTTCTGTGCACTTAAATGCAACTCTGTTCAGATACAGTTTCCTTTGTTGCTTTGCCTGGGAAGGCATCTGGCTGGACTCAACCTCATTATTCACATCACCCAATCTTTTCTCTATCTTGGTTTTATCAATACTGGCTTTGTCAAGATGCTTCCTATCAACTTTTCCTTTGCTATTCCTTGACACATTGTATGATCTGGACTCCTCAGAATGGTGGCTGTGATTTTTACCATGGCTTGTGAAAGTACGCACTGGTTCTTTTGAGGTCTCTGCACCGCCACTGTGCATCCCCATTAACTTTCCCCAGCTTCCAGGTGCAGCATGTTTACTGGGCCTCAAATGCTCAGAGTCACACAGCACATTTTCCACACATACGTTTTTGGAAGCATTACAGACCATCATTTGTTTGTTTTTCTGTCGTTGTAAATATTCCTGCAGTGTTATGACTCTGGTACTCTTAGAGGAGCTAGTCTTCAAGTCTGAGGACTCGGCACTTGATACTGTCCTTTCTTTACCACTGGCTCCTTCATTTGGGTTTGTCAGAGTACTGCACAATGGGAGTGTGCCTCCAGCATTTTTGTTTTGCTCTTGTTTTTCGTATTTCTTCTTTTTTACTTCCATATCTGGGATGATGACGTGGTCTATCTTTCTTTTTTCAAAATATTTTAGTCTAGAGCCACCTGCTTTGAATTTCAATTTTTTCTTTTCTGGTGATGCCGACTGTACCAAAGAGACATTTCGCCTGCTTGAATCTTTATCTGGCAAAAGTCTCCGCAGTGCTTTTCCTGGACCCAAATGTTTGCGCTGGCTTTCCAGACGGGCTTGTTCAGAAAATGCTGGCATGTTATTATAAGAGTTGAAACTTATCACATGAAATGTTAGGGATTTCTTTGTTTTATTGCTTTTTACAGGATTTGGTTTGACACATTTAGATGAAATGTCACTTGTTATTTTTTGGCCCATTTTTAGTGAGATGTCCTGTTTTATTTTAGATGCATCTTTTTCATCCTTGCTGAAACATTCAACTGAAAGTTGACCAGCTGATTCCTGTTCCACCTTTGGTGAACTGTTCTCTTTTGTTTCAGGTGTTTTTATCTTGTCATGTATTTCAGGAAAGTCACCTTTCTCAGCTGCTTGGGTCAGAGCACTTCCCGGGGTGTTGGAAACAGTATTAATTTCAAAAATGGTGATACCAGGACTACACAACTTCTCTCCTTGTCTGCAACTGTTGATCTCCAAAGAACCCTGGCCTTTCCCTTTCTCCTCCACGGAACTGCACTGACACTGTGGCACTCCTTCATAAACCATCGAGAGCCAACCCAATGCACAGCAATGGATTTTGTCTTTCTCTGAGTCCAGCATTCCAGGATCATGACTTTCTCCTCTAGGGGCTTGTGAATCACACAGGCTCCTTCCTTCTGCAACAGTCTTTTTCTCAGGTTCCGCCAATTTACAGGGTTGATCATCTTCAGGAAATAATTCTTTGATTTGATCTGAGTTTAATATTGTAATTTTTATTTGGTCTGTGCAGTCCTCAGACACATGACCAGTTTTACCACCAGTTTGATTTTCCAAGATTTGGTCTGTCTTTTGTTGGCCCACAGAAACTTCATGCCTTGTAACAGCTTCGATGCCATAAGGAAACTCTTTTAAAAGTTCTGAGAGCTGGTCATGTAGGTATGAGGCAGGTGGATCTTCATCATGAATCTCATTTGTTGCAGGATCATGGGTTGAGTTACTGCTGCACGCATCAGTTTCCTGAGGGTGAGGGTCTTGCTGAATAGCAGCTGGTGAACAACACACATCCTTAGTTGTACTTTCTTTTTCAGTGGCATGTTCCAAATTGCTTTTTTCTATGAGTTCTCTGTTTGCTTCCACATCCTCATAAGATGCTGGCTCTGGAGGCTGCAGTGGCTTTGGCTGCTCAGTCACTTCATGAGGAACATCTGTACACTGCACACACTTGTCTTTCTGAAAACCAAAGTCTTTATTTTCCATGTTATGGTCTACTTGCTCTTCTTGTTGATTACCAATTACTTGCTGATCCAGTAAAGGAAGTTTCTCAAGGTCATTTTTCAAAGGTAAAGAGTTGAATATCTCTGCTATCTGGGAATTGTAAGATGTATCACCTTCAGCGAGAGAACAAATACTTTCAATCTGTAACATGGGCCCACTTGCCACCGTGCTGGTCCCTGGGTTAGGCAGGGCGTCCTCACCTGGGGGAGAGTGCTTTCCCTGGCTGCCACCAGCTGTGTCTGGATCGCTCTGGGTTGGCGTGTGCTGTTTTTCCTTCTGAACTGATGGGGAAACCTTGTCTGATGTGGCGCTATCTGCTACTGTTCCCTTACCAATGTTCAAAGCAGCAATTACTGCTGTATTCTTTGTAAGCTGGTCTTGTAAACTACAAACACTGTCTTCCTTGACAACTGGATACACAGGTTCAGGTAACGCTTCAGGTACCAGCTGTTCCCCACGTAAGGTTCTGACACTTGAAAGAATTAAGGGTGACACCACAGCAATCTGAAGCTCTGTTCCCTTCGCAGCAGCTACACCTGAAGACTCATAGGTTGGTGGGACCACTGGCACTGTTTCTTGTGACAGGTTTGCCATTTTCTTCTGAGAACTTCCCCCAACTGCACAAAAGCTCTTAACATGAACTTCGCTCACAGGATTTGAACTTCCAGTCGACGTTTTACTGGTTCTTGACACACTGCACAATTTTTCTTCTGAAGATTTTGGAACTCTTTCTTCTGCAGTTTCTGATTGTTGGTTTTTCCAAAGAGAAAGACACGTTGCTAGCAATTCCATGGAACAGGGTTTGTCACTTTTAGCAGACACTTCTTTGGTTGAGAATTCAGAATGCTGAGCTGATTCAGGATAAGCGTTAGCTGTTTTACTACAACCAGCTGCCATCAGAAGTTCTTTATTAATTTTAATTTTCCTTGCAAGTTCTGAAAACTTCTTTTTGATTTCTACTAATGACTTAATGTCTCTCACCAGCTTTTCTTTTGTGACATTTGTGTCCAGTACTTGATTTGCACTTGGATTGTAGGAATACATTCTTTTCTCTTGATTATTTTGAGCAAGAGTCTGAACACCATCCTTAGGAGAGCTAACAGGTTCATTATGAGACTGTTTGACACTGGTATTTATTTTCAAGTCACAGAAATTCCCAATGTTGCTTATATTTTCACTAGCATTTTGCCATTGTTGTTGAAAGCCTTTGTAAGTATCTTTTCTCTTTTCAGAGGACTGCATTTCTGAACCCCGAGGAACTTCCACAGGGAAGTGTTTAGCAACAGGCTGAGAGTTTTGCATGGGCTGGGTTCCATATCTACAGTTGTAAGGAAGGGCAGGAAGTCTTTTGCTGGTTTCCCCAGCATACTGATATGATGACACAGGCGCAGGATGCTTTGAATGTAAATTCTGTACAGAAGCTGGAGGCTGATTGTTTTTAACTTGAAATGATGTAGATGGTATAAAGTTTTGTTTCTGAACAGAAGGATCTTGCAAAAAGTTTTGTGGTGAATAAGAATATTGCTTTGGAGGTGGCCTGTAATCTGGGTAAGTCAGTTCACTGGATGTGTATTGTTGTGCCCAATCAACCAGCTGATCTGGTACCGAGTGGTTAAGCCCCTGGTTTCCTTGAAAAGTTACAGGACCTCTTACAGAATTTGAAGGAGTCATCTGTAGTTGCACCGAATAGGTATCTGAAGTGACAAGTTGATTCTGTGCTGCATGTATATAAGGCACACTAGTTCCAAAATTAGTTTGCTGGGGTACAGCTGCCTCTGTATGAGAAGGCATAGAATTCCTCACTGGTGAGTTCAGCCATACATTTTGCACAACTCCAGAAGACACTGTCTGCAAACTGTGGTTTGGTTGTTGGAGTCCTTTAACATTTGTGCATATGATTCTATCTACTGAAGTCTGTGAGGCAACAACTGTCCTGTTATGCATATTAGAAACAGAGATTTGAGGAGTATAATTTCTGACATTCAAAAGTGGCTGCAAACCTGAATTTGAATTACTAGAATACATGCATGATTCTTGGTTATTTGCAGGATAGCTGAAGGAACTTTGAGATGTTGTAGGAGGCTGGAGTATTAAAAACTGCTGCAAAATAGACGACTGGCTTTTAGGGTACGGTGGTGGGGGCAGGGGAGAGCTCTCTGGTTTTGCATTCCAATTCATAGTTGGCCTGATCTCACAGCAGTACTATAAAGTCTGTTGCTCTGAACATCAGGATCTGCAAGAAAATAATAAATATCTTTTATTCAAAATTCCTTTTCTTCCTTTTTATTTTTGATTTTTGTTTATTTTTTGAAACAGTCTCCTTGTATAGTCCTGGCCAGCCTGGAACTCCCCATATAGCTGAGGTTGGCTGCAAATTTCGAGTAATCTTTCTATCTCATACCACAGATGGCCTAGATAGACTTTTTAAAATATTTAGTATTTTTGCCTGCACGTAGGTAAGTGCACCCATGTCATACAATGCCCACGGAGGACAGAAGAGGCTGTCAGATCCCCTGGAACAGTTACGGACAGTTGTTAGCTGCCATGTGGGTACTGGGATTCAAACCTGGGTCTTCTGCAAGAACAACCAGTGTTCTCAATTGCTGAGTCATCTTTCTAGCCCGGTAATCTTCCTATCTCATGCCACAGCTGGCCTAGATAAGACTTTCATAGACAATTACTAGCTAACTATGTCCATTCTTTGATAATTACTGGGGGACCTTCACACTAACAAGCTGTACCTTTGGGAAGAGGGCTAGAAATGGAAACTGCAATGATAATTGTGCCAAATGTCAAGACTCCTGGAATACATAAGAATTCAGTTCACACAATGCAGCTATCACCAATTATATACATACATGCATACATACACTGATTGGTCTTTTTGAGACAGGGTCTTCCGGAAGCCCCAGCTGGCCTGAAACTATGTACACTAGGCTGGCCTCAATCTTACAGAGATCCACCTGCCTCTGTCTCCTGAGTGCTGGGATTAAAGGTTGTACACCACCACATTCTGCTTTGCGTCTATTACATTTAAATGGCACGCTGATTTTACTTAATTTTTTGAGGTGCTAGGGATGGAACAAAGAGCCTCAAGCATGCTTACATGCACTCTATTACGAAACTACATCCTTAGCTTCTGTTTTCACTTATTTTGACAACTTCTTTATTTTGCGTAATCCATGCTAGTTGTAAAGCAAAGCAGTAAGACTTCAAACATAAAGAAGTTCTTACTGTTCATTCCCAATCAGTAATTTTGTTGGGGTATACAATGTTATCTGGTTTTCTCAGAAAACTTCTAAATAGAAACACTGATTCATAAATAAAATATCACACCCTCAGCTACTCAAGAGGGTAAAGAGACTGTCTCAAAAATGAAAAACACAGACTTTTTTTTAAGACAAATGGAACCCTATCAAACACAATCTACTGCTTGTGTTTTTCATTATTACAGCTAGATAGGTTATCTTATTTCACTACACATACACTCACCCACACAGCACTCTACTTTATGGGCATACCATTTACAACATACCAAGAAATTTATTTGAGCCAGGCCTGATAGTCCAGGTCTCTATACACAGCACTCAAGAAGCTGAAGCAAGGTATAAGACAGCAGGTTCAAAACCTGCCTGGGCTACAGAGTTCAAGGCCAACCTGGGTAACTTAAATATATTTGATTTTTATCCCTAGTATAAAGCTGTATTACATCCCTTGGAATGCCCTGAGAAGAGAGTTCTCGCTCTCTTCCCCACCCCCAACCTTCTTTTGTTCACATCTGAGCTTAATATACTGAGATACATAAAGACTGGGAACACAAGGAGGCATTCAACACCAATGGAATGGAACTTTCAACCCTATCCACAGAGCTCCAGAAAGGGCAGGAGCCAGAGATTAACTCTGCAAACACTGCTGATCAGTGTTAAGTGGGTCATATGCTCTGACAAAATATAGAAATTCAATGGCCAGGCATGGTGACAATGCCTTTAATCCCAGAACTCAGGAGGCACTGGCAGGTGGATCTCTGTGCGTTTGAGGCTAGTCTGGTCTACATAGCAAGTTCCAGGCCAGTTGGAGCTACAGGGAGAACCTGTCTCAAATAAATAAATTATATAATTATATATATATAATCCCATCCACCCTTGAAAAGCAGGCCTATGCATCCCATCCTTCTGGTTATATCCTCTTTTAATAACCAGCAAATATAAGGGTTTGAGTTTTGTGACCCATTATTTTATCAAAAGAAGGGGATGTCACAAGATATGCCTCAAATTCACAACTAATCACTCAGAAGTGCAGAATTCCCAGGAATGGGAACTGAGTCCTTTAAGTAGAACTTGATCCATTGTCAGAAGTGTGTGAGTTCAGGAAAATAGCACTCAAACCTTATATACATTACAGGCAGAGATACATCAGAGCTGCTATACACAGAAAAGACCTTGCAAGGTGTAGGTCATAGACTCTGGAAAATAAACCCTTGATCCTAGGGCTCCAGGCAGTAGAGAGGATACCCACTGAAGCTCTCCACTATGGCATCCAGCACAAAATACATCAGTACCTCACCTCTGCCCCTAGTTCCCAACAGAAATCCCCTAAATCCCTACAGATGAGACAAGGTCTCATTATGTAACTTTGTATATGTTCACCCACCCCCAATTTAAAACTGCCTTCTTTCACTTATAGCAGGAGCCCAGATCTTCCTATAAATATCTACACCTGAAATCCCTTTCAGGGGTAGGAGGGTGGCTCTGTTGCGGAGCCCTTGTCTGATAATATGTGAAGCTTGGGTTTAGTCAGTCTCTCTCTCTCTCTCTCTCTCTCTCTCTCTCTCTCTCTCTCACACACACACACACACACACACAAAGAAAAAATAAAATCACACTCCCGGGGCTGGAGAGATGGCTCAGTGGTTAAGAGCACTGACTGCTCTTACAGAGGACCCGGGCTCAATTCCCAGCACCCACATGGCAGCTACAAACCGTCCTTAACTCCAGTTCCAGGGGAATCTGAAGTCCTCTTCTGACCTCCACAGCAATCACGACACAGGTACACTCACATACATGCAAGGCAATACACTCATACACATAAAATTAAAAAATAAAAAAACAAACTCACTCCCCCTTCCTTATTCTCGGTATTAGCTTGTCTCCACTAGTTCACAGTCACATGCATACCCACTGCTGTATGGCACTATTCCTGGGGAGATGTGAAATCTACTTATCCCAGATAGGGACCAATGACAGACCAAAATAAGGATACTACCAAAATCCAACTTGGTTAACCAATGAGGTTTATTGGAATCACTTACCAGAATATAGGTGAAGGGTTACTTACAGAAGCAGAAATGACTCAAAGACATCTGTATCACCAAAGCCCACCCCAGCATGGGTGACAGCTCAGGAAAGCAGGAAGGCTGGAGTGCACTGCACACCCTGCAGGCAGCTCAACAGGTTGAAGAATGTCTTTTCCGGGAGGCTCAGGTGATCTGAGTACCTCTCAGCAGTCCTTAGGGCTTTATATAAGCTTGGGGAAGGAGGGGGCTTAGTAAACCTGGTCAATTTCAGGGACTTCCTGGAGCTATTGAGTTGAGCTTAGTAAGCTTCCCTATAGGACTGAAAGTTTCATCTTACCTCAAAACACCCTGCTGCTTACTTCCCATTACAACACCCAATTGTTTACACAGCTTCCCTCCTCCACGGTAGAGGGTTTTATCTCTGTATATTGCTACACAACACTCACCCATCCTACAACCTCAGAATTGTGAGCATTCAACAGCTCATCTCCAGGGTCCATATACCCCATGTTCACTCACAACAGTTTGACAGTTGTCTCTTCTGTGATCCCTGACACATTCATGTCCCACTTATAAAACAAACCAAAAACAAGCAGAATTCCTCCTGTGATGGGGTCCCTTATCTACCTTCTGTCCCATTCCATACTTTTGCCCTTTGCAGTCTCTAGAGGCCACTCTTCTGTGGAACAGACTACACTCATACATTGCATGAGTGTAACAATGTAGTGTTTGTCTTGCTGTGCCTGGCTTATTACACTTAAGATAATGGCCTCCATCTGTGTTAATGAACATGATAGAATTCACTTTTCTTATGGCTAAACAACACTCAATTGTGTACATACTTCATATTTTCCTATCTCTCCATCAAAGTGCATTTTGGTTGATTTGTTATCTATAGAAACCAGAAGTTCCCTGATATAGATGCCTCACCCCAGTCCCACTGCTAAAAGCCACATCCCTATCTTGGGCCTGATGGAGTGCCACAGCTGCAGAAAAGTCAGACAACCCACTCCTCCTGGCAGGATGTCTCTCTGCTGTCCTTGCTCCACTGTTATCAAGTAGCCACATCTGAGCTGGAACAGCTTGTTTTGTTCAAGCAAATGGCTCCAGGAAAACGGACAATGTGTTTCAAAAGGACACCTTAGCTCAGACTCCACGGCTGTGTGTGCTCTATTTCCCAACCCTATATAATCAACACACACACACACACACACACACACTTTCATTCCGAAGGGAAAGTTGTTGCCACTTCGCTGAATAAACACAGTTCAGTGTGCTGAAAGGTCTGGCTCTGGTTGTTTAAACTTTTATTCTTTCTCTGGTCTTCTAAATCTATCACTAGGTTCTTATCAGCTGTTGGGAATTTTCTTACAAACATTATTCCTACAACTGGCTGTAAGTAAATAAGCAAAACTTAAGTTTAGTCTGTAGATATACAATAGTTCTTGCTTATTTGTGGTTTTGCTTTCCATGGTTTAAAAATACTAGATGGAAAGTTCCAGAAATAAAAAAATTCTTGCTTACAATTATGTACAGTTCTGAATAACATGACGAAATCTCTCACACCACCCTCCCCAGGACATTTATCACTCCCTCGCCCAGTATATACATATATCCACACTATACACAGCATTCACCTGCTACTCACTCATTAGCTATCTCAGTTACCAGTTACCTTCATGGAGGTTGTGTTCGAGCAGTCCTATTTTATTTAATAACAGCCCCAAAGCACAACAGTGGCAATACCGGCTTTTTAGACATGCTGAAGAAAAGCTGTGAAACATTTCTGTAATACACGAATAAGAAAAATTGTAATAGGGTCAGGGATGTTGCTCAGCTGGTAGAGTGCATTCATGAAGCCCTGGTTCCATTCCTGGCACCACATACACTAGCTGTAGAGAAGCATGCTTGTAAATCTCAGGAGGTAGGAGAGAGGATCT